GTGTGCAGTTTCCCAGTCAAAATGTTTACTGTGGTCAAGGATGTGCTGGAAAAGCTCAAACCAGCTCAATTCTTTTGTCGTGGACAGTGCACACTAGTCTGGTATTAAATTTCCACCTCACCTGCATTACATGTGGCAGCCGTCTTTGACAAAACTCATTCAGTAATTTTGTGTGTTTGGGAGAACGAATAAAAAAATACAGATAATCCATGGAGATTTGCAAAAAATACCTTGCATTCTTACATTTGTGATTCTCCCTGGGACATCACTAGGTTCAAAGTGTGTGCATAACAATGCACGAAGAGGATCTGGGGGACTTGTCTTTTACGCGAGCCTGTACTCAGTCTAGTCCCCATGCCATTACAACATAGCACTGAGCCACTAATTTTAATTTACAGTTGTAGCTCTCCAGCATATCCAGAACCAACCCGGCTAGATCCTGGGCTCGTTTTTTGTCTGTAACGTTCTCAAATTTAAAAAATATCTCCTTTACCCCCATTTCAGTCACGTACCTGAGGGCATATGAGAGATGCATTGTTTTACTCAAGTCATTCGTCTCATCGACCATAACCGCCACAACCCACATAGCAACTGTCGTCTGGCCCAGCTCTGGGCCAAACAACCAGTTACACTCGGCCCACATGCAGCAAAGAATTACGGCCCTTGTTTGGCCCAGATCTGGACTACAGACATGAGCCATAACTGGCCCAAATCTCAGCCAAATAGTAACTTATAACCAGCCCTGAACTGGGCCAGAACAAGTTTTAATAGTGCTACCCAATCTCAGCCTTCAGTAAACCACATAGAGACCAGTCTTTAACCAGAAACCCCAAAACTGAGCCATAAAAAAGCCACAAAAAAAACTCCGCCATGGATCCATCAATAGGCAGTAAAACACACAGTTACACCTTTAGACTGTGAGGGAAATCAGATCTGAAGGAAAGACTTTCTGGCTCAGCTGGGACTTGAACCAGAGATTTTGCCGTGAGGATTTTGCCGTGGTTTAGTGCATTTCCCACTAAACCACTTATGCTGCGCTTAGCCACAGACATAAAATACAGACACTTGTGGAATAATAATACATTAAAAATTGCAAAACCTTTTTCATGATTGTATGTAAATAAAATAATAATAATAAAATCATTTACAGGTACTAAACTCTGTTTGGATAGATGCTGAAATGTACAACATACACAGCAAAATCCTCAGTGAACACTGCACACAATGTTAAAAGAAACACTAAAGTAGTGTTGAAGTTCACAAGATGAATGATCAAATTAAATGCTCAAATAACTGATGATTGAGCATTTGGTAAAATCAACTGCAAATCAAACACATTAAATCTCTCAAGGTCCCAGCAAAGGATGATTAAACAACTCCACAAACAGCATCACCAGCTTCACTCATTACTAACCAGATTTACTTTATTTCTGTCAGACATCTACAGAAGCTCTTATTGAGAATTAACAGAGGTTTAGATGTTGATATTTATTTAATTTGTAGTCACCATTGTGGTGGGCAGTGTTTGCTTTAGTTGGGATTTTGGTGCTCGTACTTATTGTATTAGCTTTTCTTTGGCTGCTGTAACTGTGTGTTTGTAAAGCACAGTTGTTGTGGCAAATAAAGCCAAGATAGAATGGGATCAGGTACTATCTTCCTATCTTGCTGGTGATGACAAAGTCATAACAAAATGTGCATCTAATAACTTTAAAATTTCATCAGTAGTTGTAATGGTGTTTTGTTTTTAATTTTGTTTAACTTTGGCATTTATAGCCACCAACCTTGTGAAACTGCAGTATCGGCACTAATAGCATTAAAATGATCACACATCCTGAAGACAGACATCAAGATTTTGCATATGAACCACAAAAACGGTGACAATCAAAACGAAAAAGCTTCATGTTGCACAATGCATGATGGGTGGCTTCATAGTACAAAACTTGATTCTTCCTTAATTTCACATCCTGGATTCCCAAGCTTTTTTGGTTTTGATTGTAACCACTGTGGTGATTCATATGCAAAATCTTGATGTATGTGTGTGACCACATGATGCACTTGCTCAAAATAGCATTGTATCCACTTTCAGGATATGTGATTATAACATTAAAAACAAAACACCGTTACAACTACTGATGAACTTTTAAAGCTGTTAGACACACGCTTTGTGATGACTTTATCATCACCAACAAGATAGGAAGATAGTACCTGATCACATTCTATCGTGGCTTTCTTTGCCACAACAACTGTGCTTTACAAACACACAGTTACAACAGCCAAAGAAAAGCTAACACAAGAAGTACGAGGACCAAGATCCCAACTAAAGCAAACACAGCCCACCACAATGGTGACTTCAAATGAAATAACATCTAATCCTCTGTTAATTCTCAATAAGAGTTTCACTAGACGTCTGACAGAATTAAAGTCAGTCTGGTTAGTAATGAGTGAAGTTGGTGATGCTGTTTGTGGAGTTGTTTAATAATCCTTTGCTGAGATCTTCAGAGATTTAATGTGTTTGACTTGCAGTTGATTTTACCAAATGCTCAATCATCAGTTATTTTATATAACAATCATTTAATTTGATCATTCATCTTGTGAACTTCAACACTACTTTAGTGTTTCTTTTAACATTGTGTGCAGTGTTCACAGAAGATTTTGATGTGTATGTTGTACATTTCAGTATCTATCCAAACAGAGATTTGTACCTGTAAATGTTTTTTATTATTATTTTATTTTATATACATACAATAATGAAAAAAAGTTTTGCAATTTTTTATTTATTATTTCACAAGTGTCTGTATTTTATGTCTGTGGCTAAGCGCAGCATACGTGGTTTAATGGGAAATGCTGTCTCCTCACAGCAAGATGATCTTTTGTTCAAGTCCCAGCTGAGCCAGAAAGTCTTCACAATCTAAAGATGTGTGGATTACAGATGCTTAATTGTCTAAAGGTGTAACTGTGTTTAATTGCCTATTGATGGATCTGTGGCTGAGTTTTTTTTTTCTTTGCTTTTTTATGGCTCAGTTTTGGGGTTTCTGGTTAAAGACTGGTCCCTATGTGGTTTACTGAAGACTGAGATTGGGTAGCACTATTAAAACTTTGATGTGATCATTTAACACTTTGGCCACTGCATTTATTAGATTTATTAGAAATTTTCCTGATGTTCCTGTAAAAACTGTGGCAAGATGATGCCGCAAGTAAGCATCATGCTCAGCTAACGGCGTTGACAATTCCAAGTAATTGCCCCTATTCAGCAAATCTCTGGATTCATTGTGTCCCCTGAAAGATAATTGTTGCTGGATCTACCTTTCAGAGGACACAATCAATAAGGCGTTTCAGGATGTCCCGGTTCCTTCTGACCCCTCTCATTGTGAATGCTGATCGCCCGTTTCCTCTGCTAGTCCAGTTCCACGTGACATTCACCAAATATTTTCAAATGCACAACTGACATTATATGGCGCTTGGAGCCTTGGTGTTTAACAGCTGCCTTGGTGAAGCTGTTCAGACTGTTTACTCGTACTAAAAAGTAAACACGGCCAACAAAATATATTGTTGTGCTTGGTGCTAGCTGTTAGTTAATCATAGCACTCACAGTAGCAATTTTTGAAATGGCGCACAAAACCTTTGCTAGTGAATCCAGTTTAGGTGTAAGTCTTCCTTTCTCAATTATTTCTCTTTTGTCTGCAAAAGGGTCCCTTGAAAAAGGCATTTTCAGTAGATCAGCAACAAGGTCTGGTCTAGCGGTGCCAGCCGTCATTTTCTTTTCGATGAATTTCACTGTCATACATTGGAAATTCCAGACGAATGCTGGGTGTAGCACTGGGCTCATTGCTAGACCCAGAGGGCATGCTGTCATTGAACATCAAAGTTTGATTGGCTGATGATTCTGTCACTATATCACTGACTTTTTGATGTAGGATATTCCAGTTCAACCTCAACAAAGCTAATCATAGGCAATTTTGTGAACATTACACTAATGAAAATGATAACTAAATAATCAAGAACAAATTTTTGTGCTGGCAAAATGAGTCAAAATGAGCAAAGTTTGATTGGCTGATGATTCTGTCACTATTGCTTGTTACAAATCAGATGTGACAACTTTCAACAAAAGGCTAGAACTATTTGTAGTGCTGGCCCCAGACTTTTTGATGTAGGATATTCCAGTTCAACCTCAACAAAGCTAATCATAGGCAATTTTGTGAACATTACACTAATGAAAATGATAACTAAATAATCAAGAACAAATTTTTGTGCTGGCAAAATGAGTCAAAATGAGCAAATTTTCAAAATTAGTTATTTTTATTATCATTCTCCTTTAAAAAAATGATATAATGACTGAGCTACACCCATTTTAATCGATTTATTGCCCAATAACTCATAAAGTTCACACAAGGTTCGTGACCTAAATTGTGTGCCTTGATCAGTGAAAATCTCCTTCGGGATTCCCACTCGGGAGATTACACGAAACAGCGCATCCGCTACGCTTTTTGAGGAAATACTGTGACTGCCTCAGGGTATCGCGCTGTGTAATCCACCAGGACTAATGCAAAGCAATGCTCCGTGCAATGGACAGGACTAGGGTTGCAAAAAAGTGGAACATTTTGGAAACTTTCCAGGATTTTTTGGAATCTTCCAGGGATTTTTGGAAAGTTTCCGGAAATTTACCAGAAATGTTCCACCCCTTTGCAACCCTAGACAGGATGGGTGCATTTCCATAAACAGTCACTTTTCAGATCAAGCACTGCATTTCTCGGATTTTCACAGCTCCTGTTTCCCGGTGGCTTTTTATTCGGTCTCTATATGCCAGTTACTGCAATCAGACACAGGTGTTATCATTTTGCGCTTGACTCACTGCTCATCTCCCATCTCTCTCTCCAGCCTCAGACCTTGCTGAACCACGCCCCCTCGCCACAGCTGCTTTGAAACTATTTGTGTTATATCAGTGTTATCAATAAAACTGTCTTGACTTGATTTCTAAACTGTTGCTGTAATTGTCTTCTCAGGTGTTTTTCCTCCAGTCTCTCTTATCGTCAGTCCCAGCAGAACTCAACACTTCACATCTGCTTCTTTCTCTCTGAGCTGTGAGGACCAGAGTAACTCTACTGGATGGAGAGTGAGAAGATACACAGAGAGATGGGGGCTAGAAGATTGTTCATCAGTGTTGAGATCACAAACAGGATCTACGTGTACAATCAGAACCACCTCCCCATATGACACTGGAGTGTACTGGTGTGAGTCTGAATCTGGAGAGAACTATCATCCTGTTAACATCACTCTACACTGTGAGTCTGTGTTTTTGCATTTATTCATTTTCTAAAGCCCTTATTTTATGCTTCTGATTTAAATAGCAGGATTGTGATCTCAATTCAATCATCCACGCAATCTTATTTCTAAATGATAACAAATCCCCTAGACCAGGGATGTCCAAACTTGGTCCTGGAGGGTCAGTGTCCTGAAGAGTTTAGCTCCAACCCTAATTAAGCACACCTGAACCAGCTAATCAAGGTCTTACTAGGCATACTAGAAACTTCCCGGCAGGTGTGTTGAGGAAAGTTGGAGCAAAACTCTGAAGGACACCGGCCCTCCAGGACCAAGTGTGGACACCCCTGTGTCAGACTATAGAACTTTTGATTATTAAACCATTGCTCAACCTTTGACTTTTGTCATAAAAAAAAACATTGTGATTCTCAATTCATCCAGAATCGTGCAGCTCTAGTTGGTCATTTACCCACATCATGTAAACAAATAAATGTTTATTTGTTTACATATTTTATAAAGCCCCCTGAGAAAATGTTTTATTATTATTGTTGTTATTATTATTATTATTAATAGTAGTGTAGCATTGTAGTACTTTAACTAGTATTGTAACTCTGTTAGTAGTATTAGAGAGAGTATAGGCTACTATATGGCAAAAAATTTGATTTATTGTCCCTCATAAACCCCCCTCCTCCTACCATAAATGGCCACCTGTTTGGACACCTGTTTCTGTACACCCCCCCACCCATCTAACCGGAAATGTGTTTATCCACCCCAGCGATCCCATGGAATGTATGATTGTTTGGGAATGTGTTTTTGTGTGTCGTTCGTAGAAACTGTTCAAAACTGTGCTTTAAACTTTAAATTGTGAAACGTGGTATGATTATTAAACAGGGATAAGGGAAGTTTTTATTAAAGTTTTCACACAACCATTTCAAGAAAAACATCAAACATACTCAGTATATAAACAATGTAATGTCTGTTCTTTCCAGAAAAGAGTAAAAAACGGAACAAGCCGAATATTTAAGTGTTGTTAATTTAAAAACTAGTTAGAGTTTGTTACCAGTTAAACAAAAATAAAAAGACCCTCTCATCTCACGTTGTTTCCGTCAGATCATCCTCACACGCTGCTGTCAAAACTCGGAATGAGCTCAGGAGCGTGTAGGCCAGGCCACACCTACAGCCCTCCCCTAACGCCGGAGGAGAGGCCGACGCAAAGATAGATTTAAATGTATGGTAAAAAAGAATTAAGCAAAATAATGTTTTAAATTAAAAAGAGTTGTTTTTAATAAATCTATATCATTACTTAATTGATGAAATTCAGCATTCATCCTAAAGCTTTTCACTTTAAAATTAGGGTAGTCTATACAAGTTTTCTTCTAAACAATCACCTCTAAGCCAGAGGAAAAATGTTGTTTGGTTTGTTTTATTTTATTTTATTTTAGTTATTCACACATAATTTAGTAATTCCTTTATTTACTCTTTGGTTTTTGTCAAGCTTAACTTGCGGTATGGTATAATAGTTAAAACACACACGAATGCTCGCACAAATATCTAACTGGAATGTACAGGGAAGAACCAGCCGAAGAACAGCAGAGCCGTGGTAGAAAGTTCGGAGATGGTATTAAAGTAGCTCAGTTTAAATGTATTGTATGAATTGCCCTTACTATGGAATAAAAGATATGGAGTGTGTGTTTACATTTAGTTAAAAGGGGCTGTAAATGATCAGCTCCAGTGGCACAGATGGATAAGTGCACGTTGTTGGCTTTTTGACGCGATCGACCTGGGTTCCATCCTGCCTTTTGCCAAACTTTTTTTTCTCCCTTTTCAAATCTCGTATCACATTTTGCTAACTAACTATTGGAATTTATGACATGTTAAAACATATTGGTATACTGCAGATGAGGACAAAACTGCTTACCACACGTTTTCATAAAAAGAAGAACGAAATATTAAGGCAGCTGTTTTCTGGGTCAGACCTAAAAGACAGACGCCTAAAACACCGGTATCAAAGTATTGGTGTGAAGAGAATAAAAAAGACATGAATCATCCCACCTTTCACTTAAAACGACTTATCAACTGTTAGTCATTTACCTATTGTTTAGAGACATACACAAAATAAATGCGTATCTATGTATGTACTGTGAAATGTGTGGCTTTAAGTGTAATAGTTAGAAAAGTTTGAAGTGTAATATTTGCATAGGTAACAGAAAAACACAACTAGGCTACTCACTTTTCATGCTTGGGTTGTCGTGTCTTGTGTTTCCAGACCAGAAAGATGACCTAAAAGAAATTTCATTTGTTTAGTCTTAAGCAGTGCCATGTAGAAGGACTGTCATTTAATAGATCAATAAAATTCAATTATTTTGCTGTATTTCTTTTGAGAGTTTAGCCCTGTTAACCCTAATTACAGAATAATGCAACATCGGAAAATGATCAGACAAGTCTGAATATAAAACATCAGATTTAATTTCTTCAGTTAGAGCCTTTAAAATGTTATCAGTTTTTTGCCATATATTAGCCTATACTCTCTCTAGTATTGTAACTATGTCCTATTTGGTTTATGTCTCAAACTTTTCCATAAACTTTAGTTGGTCTAAAATTCAGCTGCCCGCATAATTACTTGATTGTCTTCCACTGAACACACCTCTTCTGTTCTTTGTCATTTACACAGGCATCCTGTGAATCCTGCATTTTACTTTTAAACTCTGCATAAGCTTGCACCCTCATGTCTCTGATTTGATTCACATTAGGGAAGGGCAATACCACTTTTTTTTTATGTGATCTGATACTGATACTTTTTGTTACAATTTTACCGATACCGATACCACTTAGTATTTTAAATGTGAATGTGATTTTTAAAAATCATGTTAATTTTTAGAAAAAAAAGATCATTACATGTAAAGGCAAATTACATGCACATACTGGCCATTAATAACAAATTTATTAGAAAAGCAAATTTGACGACAAATAAGTCAAAATGTTTAAACAACCTATTATTATTATTATTATTATTATTAATAAAATAAACTACCAACAACAAACATATTTTCTTCAAAATTATATTGTACTAACTACATATTTTACAAAAAAAATATTGATTATATAACAACATAAATCTTAATAAAATAAACCAAATACCAACAACAGAAAACTGTGCACACTTATTTCTTAATTTTAAACGAACCATTTTTTTCTTTATCTTCAACTTTGTACATTTTTGTAGTATTTATCAATGCTCAGAAAGATACCATAAGATCACTGTAATTGTTGATAAAGATTTCTTAATATTTTAGCTGTAGATTAGAGTTTAAGAAAAGCAACATGTTAACATCTTTTGGTTTCAGCCGATTTCGCCTCTTGACTAATTGCCTCTCCTGCCTTAGAAAACAGCCTCTTGTTCTTTTTTTTCCCCACCATTGCAAAGGGTCCTCACATCTTGGGATCACCTTTTCCTCCATACATCTGCGCATTTCGATGTATGTGTCTGTTTTGGCTGTGTGGTTCCCCTGGAAAACCAACATACATGTGTGAAACTCCTGACATAATCCTCCTTTGGATGTTGAACAGTCTGTACCCTTCCTTTCAGTGTTTGCAGCAGGTGACTCTTGTGGCACTGACAAGGCTGTTCCCATAGAGGTGGTTGATGCAGAGGGTTCACTGGTTGTTGCCTATCTGTGCAGGACTTGCATCTCACTGATAAGCCGTGATTTATGGTTTCTACATTTCCAGTATCACAAAACACAATGTTTTTTAACCTAATGTCCAAAAACATTGCTGACTGCAAGAGTATAGTTGTGCTCAATGTTTTCAACAGTGTTTGTTCCTTCTGCCTGGCAGACATGGTTGCATTTTTGAGAATGGGTTAACTAGCTTAACAAGATAACAAAGGAGAGGGGCTGATTAATCACTATGGAGACAAACAAGCAAGGCTAGGAAACAATGGAGACAGGACCTAAGCACAGGAAGTGATACAGATACAAGTGGAACACAGGAAACACTTCAACATAAAAGTACATGAACAAAATACAGGGTAGACAGGACAGGGATCGTGACAGCTACATGGACTGTCTCAAGAGTGCAAGCCTGCATCTGCCAGTTGTGGTCAATGAAATGTCCTGATACAGTCAAATAGGCTTCGGTTGTTCTTGATGTCCACATGTCACTTGTTAAAACCACACTGCTTGCAGATTTTATGGAGTCCTTCAGTGTGGTTTTGACTTGCTCGTAGAGCTTTGGAATTTCACTAGACATCAAAGATTTCCTACCCAGTATATTGTATCAGGGATCAAGAACCTTCATAAAATGACGGAAACCTGCATCCTGCAACCATTGAACCTGGTTGCAAGTCAGTAACAATCATCTTGGCTAGGCTCCTTGTGATGTCTCGGGCTCTTTTGGAATCGATCTGAAAATGATAAAGGTTTTCCATTACACACATACATATACATACACTCAAACAGTATATACTGTACACACACACACACCAGAAATGGGCACTCGAGTTAGTGACTCAGACTCGAGTTGCATTTTTATAGACTTCAGACTTGACTCAGACTCGACCTGAAATGACTCCAGAATTGACTCGAGTAAAAGGACTCGTGAAAATTTTAAAAGCAACTCGAGTCTTTTATCCTTAAATACTTATATAACTGATATTCAAAAGGCGGACCGCATCCGCACCCCTGCATCCATCCGGACTGTGAGCCGTAACACAGTAAGTGAGCAGCGTGTCAAAACAGTGGAGCGGATCACATAACAAGTGCTCAGGGTCGTTTATGGTAAATATCTTTCAGCGCTATATCCGATGACGTGGTTATTTTAACAACAAAACACAGAAGAAAATATAGTTATTTTTCACACTATATATTTATCTATCTATAACCTATGACACTGACTGTTCAAACCATGTGACAAGACGTTTATCTACATTTAGCATTATTAATCTGTAGGCTAAGAACATTTTAAAAGAATCATGTAGGCTAATTATAATTGGGAAAATTGTTATTAGATGGCTAGGATAGAC